ATCCACCCTATTGTTGTAACTTGCATGGTTTATATAATCCAGTTGTTGTAGCTTGCGTGGTTTATCCAAGGGACACAACTCACCCAGACATGCCAGGAGACCCGGTTTGTTGACACTTTGATATACCTAAGGGGCATAACTCACCCAGTTGTTGTAGTTTGCGCATGGTTTATCTTAGGGAAACAACTCACAAAGCTGTTGTCGCTTACCCTGTAGTAACTTGCATGGTTTATCTAAGGGTCTCAACTTATTGAGTTGTAGTAGCTTGAATGTCTTATCTAGCCTAAGGGACACAACCCACCCAATTGTTGCAGCTTGCATGGTTTATCTAACCCAGTTGTTGCAGCTTGCATGGTTTATCTAACCCAGTTGTTGCAGCTTGCATGGTTTATCTAACCAAGTTGTTGTAACTTACATGGTTTGTCCAAGGGGCACAACTCACCCAGACAGGCCAGGAGGCCCGGTTTGCTGACGTTCCTGCACCTCAGGAGGTCCTGGCCGGGGACCGTGGCCTGGTCGTTGTTGAGGATGAGGGAAAAGTTTTGCTGGGAGACCGCGTTGATGGCGGCGAACACGCCGTAGCTCTGACCCGAGACGGGTGTGGTGATGGTGATGCCTGACACGTTCAGCGGGAGCAGATCTTTTGCCGGGTGGTTTGCGGGGGTGGGGGGTGTAGAGAGCATGTTGGTGGGAGAATGTCAAGGTCAGAACTGACAGGTATTAAGGTTATTTTGCTTTGTTATGAGATTACTTTACCCCCCTCCCCCTCCTCTTACACACACAGACACACACACACACAACAGAAAAAACCAGCGCCTACGTAAGCCAGCCGAAGGACTAGAGAAGAATCGTGCATGTCTCGCATGACTGTTTGTCTATGTGGAGGTATGATGGCGGTGAAGTTAAGCTCAAAACGCTGTCGGTTTACTTTGTTTTGTTTTGAGAAGACTTGAAAAAAACACACGAAAAAAACAATCAACAACACAAAAACTCGTTGTTTAACTAAATAACCCTGTGACAAGAGAATAAAGCGTAGATCACTGTCATTCTGATCAGAACTGGTCAGCGACAAAATACACGTTCGGGATTTTATTGGCTGATCTCCTTCACAACACTAAGCTACACTCTGTACTTTAGTCATAAAGACAGAAATAGCGAATTAATGTAGGTTTACGGTCCGTCAACACTATCACTTCGCCAAAGTAAAGTAAAGTAAAGTAAAGTAAAGTAAAGTAAAGTAAAGTAAAGTAAAGTAAAGTAAAGTAAAGTAAAGTAAGGGCGACCACAAAGAGAAAGCTTCTCGAGGCCGTTCTTTTAACAGCTGCGCTGTCAGCCGCTCCAGCTTTGGAAAGTGCCTGCTTGACCCCACATAGAGCACGCTGTTACACCAGGCCGTTTGTCATCAGGGTGTAAGAATTCTTCATAGACATGGAAGGCGTTGTCTAAAATCTTACTAAAGTGTCATTCCCGTGATCAGATGTGTCATGGGAGCTTGCTGGTAGAATCACTAATACATGTATAATGCTAAATGCGTGAGAGCCATTTTTACCTCATATTTCGCCCAGAACCCTTTAGTCAATAATAACTAGATCACGCTGGACAAATTATGAGAGAGAGGGC